TCTGGAGATGATGGATGAAACCACTCACAGGCATATTTCCCCTCATTTTGGACAGAACGGTTCTACCCATGCACATATCACAGGGGCAAAGCCCAAGCCTTGCATTTCTAGGCACTGAAATCTTAACAAAGTCAAGCCAATATTACACCAGCTGTGAGCTCCAGAGCTGCATGAAGTCATGATTTGGCAACTTGAGATATTCATGAAAGTATTGCAACACAGTCAGTCCTGGGGAAGAAAATCAGGTAAAACAAAATTACTTAAACATAGAAGAACAAGAACTGTTGGGGAGAGTTTTCTTGGGAAAAGGATGTCTTTAAGTACACAATACTTCCTTTGAGCCAAACCTTGCCTCTTCTGATTTATTTAAAGCATATCTTTATGTCTTCAGAAGTGCTTTTAAACCATCATGATTACAGTGTTACATCAGGTCTAGAGACAAATGTGACAGTCACAAGTGCTGTGAGAGTCACTTCTGTCACTCAATATCTGATCTGAAGGATGAGGGAACAAAATCTGGCTCTTAGCTCTGCTGATGTCAGGTACCTGAAGTGTCAGTGCACTTCAGTCACAGCACAGGCTCTGAAATTAAAGTGTCTGAGGGCAGGATCCCAAGCACAGGGTGGGGGACAATTCTGATGGGGACTGGTGACTGAGGCCAGCAGCCTCCCTCCCAACTGGCATTGTCTGCAACCTGCTGCAGTGACAGCCTCTGTTTGCAAGAAAAGGCTGTGCCAAATCAGAGTGAAAAAAAAAAAATATTTGCCTGTTTTTATATCACTTCTTGCCTCAGAAGGCTCCCTTCCTCCGCCTCTTCATCTTGGTCTAGTCTGCACCCCAAAGCACTACCAGATTGCTTTTTTGTGTATGTGCTTAGGTATCCTTTCTTTATTAAAATCCAAAGCTGCTTTGAGTGGTCTTTTTTCTCCACTCTGCATTTTGGTGGAAATGTGGAATTCAAAATGAAAGTGAAAACATTCCTCCTTTCTTACAAGAAGAACTAGAATGTTCCTGGTTTATATATAGATAAAAAGATTCATGGCTGTCTTTTGAGACACTGCACATCCTTTTCTATGTCAGTGTTCTCTGTAATGCTTCATTGATGCTTGTTGCTGCTGCAGCCATGAAGGTAGACATGCAGCTCATCCAGAGGGAAGATAATTTGATTAATTTAATATGTTACTGTTACTACTGTATATAGCCCTTTGTCAGGAGTTTCTTGTAACAATTACTTTCATTTACTTAATTTTAATTGAAGATGATTAAAATGTTGTCTTTTGTCAAAAAACATTATAATTGTAAAATGTATGCTGGCTATTGAGCATTAATTTGCCTGAACTTGTCTGAGTTCTTTGACATATTTTAATTTTTAATAGAAAAATTCATGCCTTTAAACAAAAAATTTTTAATTTAAATCTTGAAGGACTAGTTTTGGAACTTCATGCTAAATATTTTTAAGTCCTTCACAGTATTAAGGTGTAAAGTAAAAATCAACAGAGAACTTGCAAAATTAAAAAAATCTATTTCTCAAAGTTTTCAGCTGTTGTTTCTGCAACCCAAACTTTTTTTTTTTACTCCTGTCTTAATTTAAGATATTGTTGACTTTTTTGTTAAAGATGCTTTTGCCTGTGGACTCCACAAGAGGGTAGGAAATCCTTTCTCAATGTTTAGGCTGTGACAGAAAAGATTAAAAGAAAAAAATAGTGAGTTTAACTATTCTGACCACAAGCAGGCACTGTAGATATACCGGCAAGTTCCTGAGCTGCAAACCATTTAAGAGTAAAAATATAACACTTTTTAAAATAAAAATCACTGGCTTTGAAGACAGCTCTGAATGTAGGTGTTCAAGGTGCTGCAAGAGAGAGGCTGAGTGTGGATTTCCCAGTTGGAATGCTCTAAAGCATATTTTGCTGTCCTACATGTTCAATCTGGGATGTTTCAGAAAGGAAAAGAGCCATGGAGGTGCTCTCAGACTGAGGGGCTTGCCTGGATGTGGAAGCTTGAGCTCCCTCCTGAAGCCAGAATTGGAAATATATCCTCCGAGAGCAACATTAGCTCTTGCTAGAGTAATTCACAGCAATAGAAGATACAAGAAATCCTAACCCTTCTGGCTGCTTCCCTGAGGAATAAGAACACCATTTGGATTTGACATAGACCAGAATTCCTGTCAAAACATTTCACTGCGTAGGGTGGAAAAATAGATTAATGCATAGGCATGTGTTTCAGAAAAAAAAACCCAACACAAACTTACCTTGATATAAAGGAGAGGAAGAAATTGAGATCTGTAGTACTTGCAACTGAACATAAGTGGTGTACCCCGTTGAACTGAATGTCAGGTACTCCTGACAACAGCACGTGTGGTCCACAAAAGAATTCCCTTTTATTCTGATTCCCTAGGTTTTGTGCCAAGCAGTGGTTTTTTTTTAGCACCAAGTTTAGCACCAGTATCAAGTTTAACAGCAGGTAGAACAGCATGGCATGCCACTAAGTTGCTCAGTAGCCAAATTACACCATCTGACACATCTGCAAGACCCTTTGGCTGGAAGAACTACTGAAGACCTACTAGTAAGTTGCAAATTGGGTAGGAAGACTGACTAGATACTCATTTAACATCCAAGAGCACACACTGAACACACAGAAGGACATGACACACTGAAGCCTCACGGATAGCTCAAAATTGTTCCCTGAAGATGTGCTCTCTGAGAGAAATGTTGTTCTTATAGGAGAATGTAATGTATTGGGTTGACTCTAAATGATTTATGCTGCATGTTAATGAAGTAATTTAATTATTACTTAAAATATCTCCAGTTGCATTGTGTGTCACCAGCTAGACATCTAATACTCAGAAGAGTTTTCAGAAATACCTGAATGTGTATTCAGAGACTCAGACACCTAACATTAACGCAACATGTTCTCGTGTAACTAACAGAAGGCATTTAAACTCTGCAAAATAGTTGAGAACTGTGGCAAATATTGCTGGCAGCAAACTTTGTGAAGACACTTAAAAAGGATCTATAGTTATCTCTAAGATTAGTGCTCTATATAATTTTTTGTGATCCATCATTTGACTCATGGTTTCACTGCTGGAAGGATGTCAGGGACATATATCATTCGTTAGCTTTCAAGAAAAACCCCTCATGGACCAGTTTTAACTAGATCTAGATTAAACTAGATCTAATTCCAATCAAGTTTCTCTGAAGAAGCCGCATTGAGCTTCATGCAGACATGATCTGGCACAGCTGGCAGGGACACCATCTCTGCTGCAGAAATGGGATCATGGAGCTCCCCTCTCCCTGCCTTTGTGGACATACTGCAGGCTCTCTGTACTATCCCCAAACACTGTGTATTTCATATGGCTCCGCTCCAAAAGGAAAATCAAGAATTCCTGGTGACATCCCAGATGGTACCCTGGCCACTAAGTTGTCATGTAAAATGTATGCAAAAAGTTGCTCTTCTGCTTCACCAGTGTCCAGAGAGCTGGTCCTCAGGAAAGCACTGCAGATTAAGTCTAGAAAAACCTGAGGCAACTGTACAGGCTCTAAAAGTCAGGGCTAGGTTGTGTTACAGGTCCAGCTCTCTAGAGCTGAGTCACTGGCTACAAGCAACCTGATGCTCAGTTTTCTTGCTCTCCCTGAGCACTGCTCCTGCTGCCCTCCTGTTTAATCCAGGGGTCTCCCTTGGCATGCATTTAGCGATGGTATGGGACAGTATATTATCCAAATTCTAGGTGCCTAAAGACTTCGTTGCATCCAGCCCTGATCTGTCTGTTCAGCTAATGATACTCGTGCACAGAGAAAGTACTTGTATCAACTTAAAGTCTTTGGGTTTATGTTTCTATTGTGAAAGGTGACAGCCTTATGCAACACCTCAGATAAGTCTGTGACTTTCCAGCTCCTTGCCATCTTAAGTGTTTCAGAGTTGGTGTGCAATTGGAATTCTCCACATCCAAAATAGTATGTGTTACAGATCCACAAAAAAGTTCTCAGCAAAGAAAACAAGCTGCTACCACTGGCATGACATGCTAGTATAGATGTGATAAGTCAAGAAGTGGATAAACATGGATAGCTTTGTGGTAGTCACTGTTTGATAAGGGTAGAGTATACACTGTATGCATAACGCAAAAGGTAAATCAGAGGTACAATTCACAATAAAAAGATTGCAGTGGCTGCATTCAGTAATGACAACTCAGCCAAACTTATTTTAAGCAGGTAACTAATGTGAATGCTAACAATACCTCTTTCTGACTTCAGAGGGAGCTCAGCATGGCAAGGACCTCAATCAGATGTTCCAGTTCAGTGTGACAGTGGGGTTGGATGTCAGCAAGTGTATTTTATAACATCTGGAGCCTGACATCTAAGCAAAGACAGGACAAGAACATACCTGAGTATGAGCCATACTCTTGTTCCTGCGTACTCCTTCCCAAGTATGAAGTGCACAAGAAATAAGGGATGAAAACTTGATTCTATTATTTTCAGGAAAAGGTCAACTTCAAGCCAAAATTACACTCCCATTCTATTTGCTTGGGAATAACAGTAAACTCTATACATCTGTCCCCTTTACAAAGGAGTGACAAAGACCAATATGAGCCTGAATGTATTCAGTTTAGGATTATTAATGGTGAACCCTAAAAAGATTAGCTGCACGCATACAAGATGAAGTGAAATACTGAGTTTATGGGCCACATGTAAATAATTTCTGAAATTAAAAAAACCCAAATCAATGCATTAAGGGTTTCTAGAGAGACTCATACTTCCAAAACACCATCAAGGCATTAAGAGTGAAAACAAGTGATAAATAAATATCATATAAAATTAGTCTGATTTATTAGAGAAAATTCAACAGAAATGATAGGTTAGAGGTAATAAATGATTTATTAGAGAAAATTTTACAGAACTGACTCATAAAATTCATGTTATACATTTCAGGCTTTTACTGAACCATGAATATCCAGTAAGCCACTGTTTCTTCATTTCTAGAGCTACTGTCACTAATAGAATCTGTTACTGTGACTGATCTTCAGATAAAAGTTTTACTGTACGAAAATGCAGGTTAAATATTTTGCCTTTTAAGAAATGTTTTCCGAAACCATGGATAGAAAAATCCATATATTAATGGATTGCAGAAAGAATTTAATTACCCAAGCCAGTTTACAGAATTGAACAGAGATACAGGAACAGAGAAATTAAAAATTGGATCAATTAAGATTACAAAAAAATGAGGAAACCAACATATTAAGAAACCCAGCATAACAATACTCAAGGCCTTAGCAGTTTTCCTGTCTTTATTCTTAGAAAGCTAATGTTTCTTATCAATTTTTAAGTGCCTGTGTGCCTGGCTCAACTCCCATGTGTGCCTTTGGGAGACTGTAAAAATTTTAACATAAATTCCTATCATAATGCAAGCAGGAGCAAAGAAACCAACTGTAAATAGAAAAACCCCCCACAGTTTGTTGAACACAATAGGGCACAAGCATTTAACTAGCTTTTCATAGCCCTCAATTTCAGAAGCATAAACTTCCGAGAAAATCACACCAAAAGCAAAAGCAGCAGGCACTGACCAGCAGACTGCTACAATTTGTTTTATGGTTGCGACAGTCATGGTGCTGGTGTAATGCAGAGGATGGTGGATTGCATAAAACTGATCCATGGCAATGGAACAAAGATGGAAAATGGAAGCTAAACAGAGCATCAAGTCAAAACTGTAATGAACTGTGCAGAATATAATGCCAAAAAAACAGTATTTCTCTATAGACCTCACCATGCTGTAGGGCATAATGGTAAAGCCCAGCAGGAGATCTGTGCCAGACATGGATAAGATGAGGAAACTGGTCGGAGAATGAAGCTGCTTGAAATATGAGATGGAAATTATTATGGTCAAATTCCCCAAGATGGTGAGAATGAAGACTGCAGTTACGAATAGATACAGTGCCTCTCATATTCCTGCTGACCTAAAGCTCTCCGGACAAGATCTGTTTCCAAACTCAGAGCCATCAGTCAAATCCCTCGAGATATTCGGTGAAAGCATAATCAATCCCTTATTAGACTTTTCTTTTAGAGGTGCAGTTCCATCAGCAGATTTAATTCTCATGAGTTTCCAAAAGATTCCAAATCCTAACATGAGAATACGAGATAAAATAAGTCAAGACTATGAACTCAATTACTATGTGAAATGCAGTAATTCGGAGGGGAATTTTCTCTCGCCTTAAATGGGGACTAACTACAACCAATTATTCTTCTGAAATTATTCTACCTGAAATCTAGCAACTGGAAGACATTATAAAATTAATTGCAAGTAATATTTAAAACACAGCAGTTGAAAGTAAACTTAATTACCTCTTAAATCAATAAATTATATGATAATATAAATCTTATTTTGTATCTGGAGTATTTTGTAAAATATTGTTCTTGTATTTTATATAAATCGTAATATTAGTAAATTTAAATTGATCGAAGAAAAACGTGCATGGACAAAGAAACCCCTCAAGTCACTTCAATCTGAAAATATTATGTAACATTTATATGCCTCCCTAATCTTAGAATATTGATATTTTTTCTATAGGAGAAATGCAATGCAAACTGTCATACTTCAGCTTTCTTGAAGATTTCAGTTAATGAGCTACTCACCTAAATGATCCTCTTAAGAGACACAAATCAGTTGCTAAACCCCCACTTTCCAAGTTATTTATGATGATAAACTCACCTGCTGTGCATTATAAAGTACTAACAATGAACACATCTCACGGAGATCAGTTGTAAAACTGGTAGCATAAACAATATTCTTTTCTTTCCCTATATATACACTTGTTTTCTATCATTATAATTCCACCAGCAAAAAGGGTGTGGAGGCAGGCTGAGGCTTGTCTCCTGTACTGCACTGCGGTCCAGGTGCAGTAGTTATAAATGAATACACTAGTGAACAGTTTCAAGGGGCAAAAAATTCTCTTCCTTTATCTGGGAAGAACCAGATCAATTTCTTCCACCTCTTTTCCTGATAATTTGTTTTGGACTAACAGCAAATTTAGAAATAGGAGCAGAAAGAGATACTTTTTCCACAGCAATTTAACCCACTTAAAAGGAATATGAGGAGCAACTAAGTCTACTGATCTTTTTTCCAATAGGCATCACCCAACAATGAGGAAAATACAGAGATTGTGCATCAAAAGATTAAAAACAGATCTTGGCAGTCAGTCTTATAGGCTAATCCTCCCTCCATCTCTTTTAATTGTACCATAAATAAATTCTCTAAGTAGACATTTTTCTGTTCTGTTATTGTCCTGCAAAATTGCAATCTTGGTAACAGGCAGATCCCCTCTGTAACTTAGCTCTGATTCATGAAAGGTGGGAATTTATTTTTCTTTTATGATGTTACATTTAATTCCCAGTAGATTTTGAGCTAAACATATGTATGCAATTTAGGGGTTTACATCAACTGGAAATAAACAAAGCCAAGTGCCTGCATTGACAACACCATTATTTTTATTTGTTCTATTAATTATCTACCCTCACATATAGGGGAGCTCTTTTGGTGACTTAGTCATGTGACAAGTCATGTTGTACCTCATCATTTCCATGATAAGCTTAAATATTAACTGAAGATAACTATTTGGTTACTTATTACTAACTGCTTTTATTACTCTGGGCTTCCTTCGATAAAACAACAATAGACAGCAAAAGACAAACTCAAGCTTTCTCAATGAATTGTGTATCCTGTTGGTAACTGAGAAAGTCCAAAGGGTATAGGATGCTCTCTGTTTTCAGCAATCCCTCTCTAACTGACAGACACCTTTTAGTCAATATGCTATGAGTACTAGGTGTTGGAGGAAAATTACTTTTCCTATACCCCTGGGAAATAAGAAGTCGATACATTTAGGAGTGGGCTGTGGAGTTCTCATTGTCTAAGTTATGCTGTGGATCAGGTCTCTTAAGAAATTAATCTGTTTTACAAACACTGTTGCATAATCAGTTCATAGAAACATTTTCAATTACCCATGCAGCTGGTTGGATTTAAGGTGCATCATGAAGAGGAAGAGAACTTATTAAAAATCCTACAAAGTAGGCAATTTAATGTAGCTGGTTATGCAAGACCATTTAAAATTACACAAGACAGTAAATATTAAAGGAATAAAATATCATAGAATCACAGAATCATGGAATGGTTAAAGTTGAAAAGGTACGTTCTGCCCCATCATCCAGATCATTAATGAAGGTGTTGAAGAGGATTGGACTGAGTATTGACCTTAGGGCACACCACTAGCTGTTGGCCTCCAACTAGACTTTTTGCCAATGATCAGTAGCACCCTAGGGGCCCGGCCAGTTTTCAATCTGCTCCATTCAGCCCGTTTTCAATCTACTTCATAGTCTTCTCATCCAGCCCCATACTTCATTACCTTCCTTGTGAAAATCTTATGAGAGACAGTGTTAAAAGCCCTACTGAAGTCTAGGTAGACAATAACCACTGCTCTCCTCTTGTCTATCAGGCCAGTCATTTCATCATAGAAGTTTATAAACTTTATAATTTGTCTAATGGAAACAGACTAGTCAAAAAGTGCTTACAGGTAGACATAGTCTTTTTCCAAATCAAGTCTTTCAATGCAGTAGCGTGGAAGTAGTAGATAATGAAGATGAGCAGAAAATCTGCAGAAGACTTTTGTAGAACATTGTGTCATGTTTGATTATGTCCAGTATTTTCCCTCTCGTTGAATGGGTATTAATGCATTGTAGAGGTCAGAGAGTGCACAGTGTGCATGACATAGATGAGTTAATGATTTAAAGAAAGCCATACACTTCGCAATATTTATAGATTTTGAGAGCTCATTTTTTCCATTTGAACACTGCACTAATGTATTTTTTTTATCTAGCAGTTTAAAATACTCCCATTTTAGAGTGATGATTTCTCTGTGAGGTTTCTAGAAGGGACTTTCATGGTGTTCCTCCTCTTTCCCTGTCCTCCTGCATCTGGTACCTGAGAGGCTATGAGATTTGGACACAGATGGTACCACCATGCATGATGTAGTCCACCAAGATATGAGCTACAGGGACTAAGGCAGGATACAGGCAGCAGTTCAGGACTCTGAAATTTGCTGTCAGTTTTGTACAAAGCATGAGAGGAAGGTGACATTGCAAATGGTGCTCACTGGTGGCAAAATGAACAGACAGAAGTTTACTGGTGAATCAGAGACTTTCATCATGCTGGAGTAATTGCTTTGTGCAAGTTTTCAGGGAAGTTAAGACATATGAAATCACCCATGGGGGAATAATTTGTTTTGCAAAAAGTAGCCAGCTGGGAATTGTTTAATAAGATCTCTAATTAAAAGTGTTGATAAGGAATTTAACAATATCACTTGCGCATCATTTGCATTATGATACTTTGAAATCCCAGTGCAATGTATTCTGCTTCACCAGACCTAACTCATAATCTGATTGGACAGCAGCAAGAAGCATTTTTCTTGTGCTGTCCTTATTTATCCATGTCTCGTGTCCAAATAGAGTCCCTGTGGCCTCATTAACATATTTCATTTGTCCGTCGCCCTTATAGTGAGAAATAGCTTTGTGCTGTCTGCGATTAGAGCTAATGAGACAAAGTAACCTGGGACTTCATTACAGTCCCTCTGCTAGAGAAGGTTCTCTGTAAATAGAAATCAAGGAGGATCTTTGGGAAAGTGCCACTTTTAGGTAATAGGAAACTAGAGGAAAAAGTTATTTCTGAAACTTTCTGAGCTGGGCTGCGCACAAATATGGCTAATGTTGTAGGTTATTAAGAACAAGGAGTCCTGTCTTCTAGCTATAGATGAAGGTCACCAGCAATCTGTGTGTGGAAACTCCTTCTCAATTCTTCAGAGAATAAATATTGGTTACATCTTGGCTAGACTAGCTTGCCAGAGAGTTATTGATACACTAAAAATTTCTTCTACTATTTCCATTTACACTCAATAGATTGTGGTGATCTTGTGCAGTCACAATGTTTGGATGCCTTCTTTACTGGTTTTGGCTGAGATACGGTTAATTTTATTTATAGTAGTTTGTTTGGTGTTATGTTTGGAATTTATGATGAAAAACAGTGCTGATAAACACACATGCAACTCCCATTTTAGCTAAGACTGAGCACTGTTTACACAGTCCTAAGGTCTTCTCTGCGCGTAGCCTGGGGGTGCACAAGAGGTTGGGACCCCAGCTGACCAAAGAGATACTTCACACCATATGGTGTTATGCTCAGCAATAAAACCTTAGGAGAAGGAGGAACTGGGATGTTGAGAGTTAGAGTGTTTGTCTTCCCAAGTAACCAACCCTGCTTTCCTCAAAATGGCTGAAGATGTGCTTGCAGATAGGAAGTAGTGATGAATTCCTTAATTTGCTTTGCCTATTAAATTATCTTTATCTAACCCACAATTTTTATGCCTTCAGGAGTGTGGTTCTGGTTTCTATGGTTTTCTAATTAGCTTTGCACTAGGGTCTAGGTACAGACTGCAGAGACATGCTCCATTTGAACTACCATCTATCCCACAAGCAAGTTGGGATCACGTTCACTTTCAAACTTCTCCTACAAGCACAAAAAAATGCCAGAGAGATGCCAGAATAAGTGATAGTGTGATCAGTTGTGAACTCTGGTAGAGCTGGAATTCTCTGGAAACACAGTAATGTTTCCAGATTTTCAGGGAGAAAGACAACGGATGAAGGGAAAGAAACGACTTCATTGACTTCCTGAAGGGACTATGTCAATATGTGTAACGGCGGGGTCCTTGTGTAACAAGGAATAAAACTGCTCCTCGTAGGTGGTGTGAACAAAGAGACTCTATTTCAAACTTCGCGCTCCTTTTATCCCTACATACCACGTGACTTTCTTAACCAACCATTTTACTAACGTTGGGGCATGCTCTCTTGGGCTCTCTTATTTCGGCACATCCTTTGTGCCTTTAGACACACCTCCCACAAATATGTGCTGAACTTTTATTTCAGAAGGTAACACTGAGCATGAGAAAATTACTGCATCAGGCCAGACTCACTGGAGATGAATGAAGAAGAGAATTACCCATTATTTATCAGAAAGATAGATTTTTTTTTTTATTTCATCTTACTTTATTTTTGTTCCTTTTTATGTCGTTTTGGAGAGTACAAACTTTACAAGATGGCAATGAAACAGTAAGAGAGACAATCTCAGATCCTGATATTTCACGCTGCAGAAACGTATCATCATTCAACTTTTATGCTTCACAGCATAGAGTGTTTCAGTGCTCTACAAATTACAGAAAATAAAGACAAGATACACATATGATGTGCACTTATACAATGAACATAAACGAAGGGCATACTGCTGAATGTAGTTCTTACTTCAGTACAGTCACCAATTTCTCTCCATGGTTGCTTCTAATCCTTTCCTGTCCATTGCCACTACTGGTCCTTCATAATCCAACTGATTTCAACCACAAGATTTCTTCACAATTCTCTATATGCTTTCCTCAAAAGCTGTCACAGCATTGCCATCAGACAAAATAACAATATCTCCAAGCTAAAAAAAGTTTCCTGACACAAGAATTGGCAAATATTTTACATCTATACGTTCATTAGATAAATATAATTTTCTGGCATTCTCATGTTCAATGCAGCTTTTTTGTAATTGCTTTTCATTTTGTACATCATATTTTTCCTTGTCTTTGATCTCGTTAAACATGCTTTTGATCTCATTAAGCAGCAAAGCCTTTAAGTGACAAACTCATAAGTGACAAGCACTAGTTGAAATGAAAACAGATAGAACAGCACAATTTTTCTCTGTCTCATCTTCCCTCCCTTGAGTGTGCTGGTATGGCTGGTTATTGGTCTGTTTAGAACTCTGCACAAATATTGAAGAGGAGGGAAAAAACTTACCAAGTTTTGGGTGATTGCTCAAAGATGTAAAGAAATTCAAAGGAAAAAGTTTTTCCATTCTTTCTAGAGGACAACTAATAAACACAAATATTGTAATATAAATCACCTTGTTCAAAAAATTAATCTGTTGTACCAGAATAGATTTTAATGATTAAGATCAGGTATGTAAAATGTTGTAAGTTTTTTTAAGCGTAAGTCTTGCTCTTCTGCACATTGAAAATAAATAGATCTAATCAAAACATCACATACAAATCCCAATCTGGAATGAAATAAGATGTAAAGCACAATTGCTTATCTGCTTGAATTGGATTTGGTAAACAGGTAAACAAATAGGTGTTTCCTTCCTTTTCAGATCTTACACCCAGGAATTCAGCCTCCAGGTAAAAGTTCTAAGCCATGAATGCAACCATTTAAAGCATGTTAATCTAAAAACAAATGAGACCTGGAAGAGTCCTGTTGAAAAATTTTTCCAAACAGAATAATTTTTAATGCCCTGCGAAACCACATGTAAAAAAATGCATAAACAATTGGGTTAAATGTAGAATTTAAATAACCAAACCAAACCAGAGCATCGATGAGAATATGAGGTATCACATAATTCATAAATGGATTGGTAGCTGTAAAGAAGAAGAATGGAGTCCAGCAGATGAGAAACACTCCCATTATTATGCCTAATGTCTTAGCAGCTTTCCCTTCTTTGCAGAATGAAATGTGATTCTTCATTTCAAATTGCACCTTTTTTTTGCTAATTGCATCAATGGATCTTGCCTGCTTCTTGGCTACAGAATATATTTTCCTATAGATGTACAGCATAACAAATCCGGGGATGTAAAAAGATACTGCAGAGGCCACAATACCTGAAGTTTCACTAAAAATGAGAAGGCATCCTCCTGCACAATGGATATGATTATAAATCTTTTCTGCCCCTCTCAAGTTCAGGTCTAGAAAGATCATCCCAAAAGCAAAAGCAGCAGGGACTGTCCAACTTATGAACACCATGACCACAATAACAAAAGTATTTATCTTGGATTTGTATCTTAAAGGATCACACACAGCATAGTAACGGTCAATGGATATGAAGGAAAGGTGGAAAATAGAAGCTGTGCTCAGCATAATGTCCATGCTCGTGTGGATCTTGCAGAAGAGCTCCCCAAAATACCAGCAGTTCTCAACGGAGCGGACCATACTGCAAGGCATGATGAAGAATCCCAGCAGGAAGTCTACTGTAGCCATTGAAAGTATCAGGAAATTAGTAGGCGTATGGAGCTGCTTGAAATGTGATATTGAGATGATAACCGTCAAATTTCCAACCACTGTGGCTAGAATAATGCAAACCATGAAGATATACATGGAAACACGGGTACTGTTTGACCAGCTGCTCCTTATGCAAGAGCCATTTACAGATTCACAGCATGGTTGCATCCTTACTGTTGTCTCAAATCCACACAGGTATGCAGAACAAGTACTGTTTTTCCTAATGCTGAGGTAAATTTACAATGGTTTTTTCCTCTTCTATATGTGGGGAGAGCTGCAGGGATAGAAAAGAAATGGCAATTTTAAACACCTTCATTTAGTTGAATGTGTAGGAAATTCACATTTCATTATTTATGAAGGATGAACACTGTGCAGCCTGCTGAGACCAAAAAGTTTCCATGAGCCTTGTTTTTTAGGTAAATGGTACTGACTCACCAGATCAAGTTTTCCTGAAAAATTCTTGCAGACTCTAGCTGTAAATAGAGATGTAAGTAAAAGATCTAAGAGGAGAAAAGAACTTTTCTGCCCTTTTTCTGCCAAAATATAATGGAAGAACCTGACTAATCTGAAGCATTATCTGTTGTATGAGCAAATATCTTTTCTGCTGGGCTGTGTTGTTTTCAGTGCTAGTAGTTTAGCAGTGTTATGAGTATTTATTACATTAATACTGTTTTTAGCCAAAGCACAAACATGGAAAGAAACATTCTGAACACAGGTTTAGTTTGCATCTGAGGACACATATATTACTGTCCTCTTGTGTATGCTGTAGCATGTCCCTTTTGCAGCTCTCTTTATGAAATCTTTTAATGAAAGTACTTAAGCACTTGGCAAGCAATATCCATTGTTGAAGGATCTGGTTTCCTTTTAATTAACAGAAAGATAGTGTTATTGTGAAAAATAAAGATCATTAGCATATGCTACTCAGTAGCACTACATTATAGTATAAAATGATTGTTTAAGTCAGAAAAATACTGACATGGCACTTCAACCAGGACTAATTTAACCCATATGCTTTGGGACTTTGCTACCTCTGGTTATTTTAGATAGAATACAACAAAATACCGTAAAAATTTTCCCGTATTGAAACAAATGTTATCACAAGCACACCATGCCACTGGAAGCTAAGTGAATATAGATGATAAATGGTAGCTTGCAAATCCCTGACAGCTACCCTGTGTTATAGAGAGGGATTTTTCAAGTAGGGCAGGTAGTGACACCTGAGTGCCAGGGACAAGGTGCATCCAAACCTACAGGAAGTGTGAAATCTAAAAATTTTTATTTATTTATTTGGTTAATTGCTTATTTATTTATTTATATTGGGGTGTTTGGCTTCCCCTTTTTTCTGCCTACTAATGTTTAACACAATCTCAGCTCTTTTTCACCTCGCTGTAACTATCACTTCGTATACCTTTTCCATCACTTTTTGTCAGTCTCTTCATGTTTCTTTTCCTACCTGTCATTTCATCATTTACATCAAGGCGAAGAAAACACAACCAGATGGATACTTATTGACACAAATTTTGAATTTTCACAGTAGAAAGAATTAAACACCAGTTTAGCTGTATATACTGGGCATCATTATAAAAGTTTCAAGCCCATTAAGGTTATAAATGTGTTACATAGATTTTGAACTTCATTTGTTCTATATAGTAAATTATTTAAACAAATCTGGTAAAAGAGTCTATGAAGCCAACTAAAAAGAATTAACATGTTATCTCTAGTTTTCTTTAAGATTAAAAATTTTAATAGCTTCCCTGTTGTTTTCTGATAGAAGAACTATTTAGCCTAAAGAAATATGATCTCTCCTGAAAATTGTTTTTCTTTTAAAAAAGTAATATTCTCAGGGAAATTTTTATTTTTTTTTAAACAATAAGACGAAACTCCAACCAAAGGATTGACGAAACTGAGATCAAGTGAGTGGCTTTGCATGAAATGGAAAACTGTGTCAAACTGTTCAAATGAGTTGACCTCTGAAGAAGTTTTCAAAAAGAAAGCAGAATGCTTCCCTTCCATATATAATTACAAAGGTTAAAATTTAATAAGGTGGAATTAAGAAGAAACATACATTTAAAAGCCTGTTCTCCTACCTTTCTCCCTTTGTGCTGGGTAGAATTCTGCTCTTGATGCTCATTTGTTTTCTTCTTGTTGACTGGCATTCCTTCCTTGTAAAGACCATCTCAAAAAGCAGCTGAAAATCTTCACCATCATAACAGTTCTGGGTAACACAAATTTTGAGAGGACAGGCTTTTAATCCACAGCTGGAGCAGCCTCCAGAAACCCCCCCTCATTGCTGGAGGGTGGTGGTGTGATGAATAATATTCTTGTTTGACTCAGGAGCAGCTGTTGATATGAATACTAACTCAAACTGTTTATTTTGTCACCCACTTAGAGAACAAAACCATGGCTGTTACACTCACACTTGTTTAATGGGCCTTATTTATAGGTAAATTGAAATAATTTGAAGTAAGTTTACCTGTTTGATTAAACGTTATGGTCACATTGTGAGCAGCCTAATATTATCTAAGTAAAGAACAAAAGACACCTTCGCTAAGTAATATACATAAGTATAGGTAGGTTACAGCAGTAGGTAAGATTTTCCTGAAAAGGAATATTGTGAACAGAGTGACATGGAGTGTATTTACCAGCCTATTTCTGATTACTGTACAAATAGGCTGAATCTAATAGCCTCATCAATTAACAGCTATTTGCAAGATACAGTTACTGAAAAAGTGTTTTAAGTAAACACCTATTATTGGCTGTACCAGACTCACGGACAAGAAGCATTGATTTTTTGCTCCACAAAGGACCATGCAGCCTTTTAAAACTGCTGAATATCAAAGACTGGTGACCATCAGCTAAAACCCAGTTATGCTGGATGACTCAGGGGCATATGGAATATGGTATCTTAGGATACCACTTCTTACAAACTACTCTGGTGACCTGGATTAACTGTGTTGTGTTATGTGCTCAAAAATCAAAATTAATGCAAGCAAGTCAGTTCTTTTTTTTTTTTTTTGAGCCTGCAGTCATAGACAGACTGGCATATTGCACTGCAAGGTTCTTCTTGCTATGGGAAGAGAGTGTTCCAAAGAAAAAAAGTGCAGAAAAAATGATGGGGCTGAGTGAGAAACCACTTAAGAGAATCAAGAGAGTATGTCGAGGAGAGGAGCCAGGTCCCATTTCTCAGATTTGAGGGAATGTGAAAAAGACATTTTGGGTACCCAAATACTGGACTCTGAAAGAGGCCTTCACCCTTCTGAAATGCACAGCAGTGTGCTTCCTTGCAGCCAGGTACTTCTCTTTGAGGAGTGAAGGTTTAGGGCCTGGTAATTACTGTCTTGACATATACATTTTATAGGAAGGTAAAATTGAGGGGAACAAATCCATGTTGCCTTACTCTGTGCAGAACTCGTCATTATTAAGAAGTCTGGTGGCCAGCTCATTGTGGGAACTTAGTCAAAGGCCATCCATGCATGAACACACTGCTCTCCCTTCATGCCCTCTCCTTTGAGTGATGCAGTGGCCAAAACTCAAGGGGACAATCTGAAAAGCCAGCTCTGTTTCAAGTGATTGTTTCAGAGGCATCTCCCTGACAGCAACCAGCAAAACTCTGGGGGTCCCCCTGCATCGAGGGAGCCTTCTCCTGCCCTGAGCAGGTCTTCCCTGCTGCAGATAGGCAGGCAGCAGCCAGCTATGGAGTGTGGGTTTTGCTCTGCCTCTTCTCAGGGCCAGGCTGGAAGTCTGGTCAAGGAGCGTTTCCCTCCAGTTCCTGGCTTGCAATAAAATTCAATTACAACTTGTCGTTCTTCCTCTTACATGTGACATTTCTCCAGGACACAACCTGCTTCTTTTTAAACCTGCTGAGGACTTTGGAAGTGTTAGGAGTTCTCAGGGAGATGAAATAAAATGAAGAGGAAGAGTCAAAACCTCATGACGCAAAACAACATGTTGCAGGGTTTATCAGACATACTGTCCGTATGACAATTGTATCTTGTCTGCCAGCACTGTGTGCTTGACACTGGAATTTGCTGGTGGCGGTGAAGTTCAAATAAGAAATCTGAGGGCAGCCAGTTTAAGCAAAGGTCCCTTGGACAGGCCATGTTTGCTCTCTTGTTGGCTACCAGCATTGCCTATATACTTTGAAATAACTAAGTGACCTGGTGACATTAAAGGACAATTTTGTCCCTGTTATCAATGTGACTGGGCTCTCATCTTGACTTCACCTCTAAAGAAGAAAAGCCTCATCTGTGGAGCTGGCCAGCCTTCCTGCTCCTACCAAAATCCTCTTGGGGCCAAGGGCTGCAAAACACCTACCATGTACTTTGCAAAACATAGCAGGGGGACTGCTCTGGGGCTGGTTGGTGAGCACGACTTCCCTCAGCAGGGATGGGAGTGGCATGGGGTCCAGCAGGTGCTCCTCCAGGCAGGAAGCTGCCTGCAGTTGGAACTGCTGGAGACCACACCATGAAGTCTCTGTATAGACTGTTTTGGGTAATGCCCTTCACTCTTCTACTGAACACAAACCCGCAGGCATAGTGTTTGATATTCAGTATCTCAGTACCAGCTTGTACTGCAAGACCCACACGCATTGGAAAGGACTGAACCACAGTTCTAAAGGAAGCTGTGAGCATGGGGAGGGTGGTATTTAAGGGTATGTTTGTTGGAATAAAAGTAAAGCAGCAGCTTTTAAGATATCAAGATAATTAAGTAGATAAGCAAACGTCTGCTAATTTAGAGCAAGAAGGAACACTTTAGCGAGAAGCTTTCATGCTGTTTGGGCAGACGCTTCAAACAGGCATTTTCTTGCGCCTTAGTGCTGATGTGGATCATGAAAATATTCACAGAGTTGTTATTTATAATATCAAAGAGAAATATGTCAAGCTCTATTTTCGTGACACCTCAAAGCACTTAAAAATAGTCAGTGTTTAACAGTCTTTTGAATCTATCACATAGTAAAGAAGCATCAAAATTCAAAGTAAAGACTACAAAATTGTTACTGTGGCTTTCTATTCTGAAAAACTTGTATTTCTGCAATAAGTAGTTTTCAGATTTTTGGAAAACCAACGAAAAGAGATGCTGTCATAGTGTCTAGAATACCTTGGGCCTTCTACTCTTCTTATTTGTTTGTTTTTAAAACATAAAATAATTAAAATGAAAAACAGTACAGAAGGGAATGAAAACAGCACTTTTGCCAGACATCAAACGCATTTGAAAAATGTGTTGAAAAATCA